CTTATCAAAACTGAGGCAAGAAGAAACGGAAAATTTGAATAGCCCTATTACCTGATATCCACATGGATTTATTATCTTTACATCATTCTGTTGCCCTTTCTCTTCTGTCAGAGATTGTTTTTATATCAGGCGAACCACTCTGTTGTTGAATTTAGGTTTGGACATCCTGATTTAGGACTTAAATCCTTCTCATGACACTATCCAAGGAATCTGCCCTTCAGTGGGTTTGCTGTATCTTCATATAACTGGTTCATTTGAATAGTAACTGGAAGATTCTGTATATACATTTTCCTTCCACGTTCCTTTTCTAGTTTCTATAAATGACAAGTTTTCGTTTTTGCCATAAAGTTACTGGTCCCTGTTTATATGGTGCTTGGATGTTGGTGCTCCTTAAAATGATCTAAATCACCCACCCTTTTTCTCAGTTTTGTTGTTGTTGTTATTCCCTAGTTTTCTGAAATGCTTTCTTGATTCTTCTAAAACACCCAGAATACTTTAATACTGTAAGATAGGCCAAAGTTTAGGGAAACTCGTGTCTTTTTAAACCTTTTTCTTTAGCTAGCAGAAAAACTAGTTTGTACTCCAAACAGATAAGGAAGAGAAACAAGATGCAGATCTCTGTAACATTTATCCTCATAGCGTGGAACACTGGGTTCGTAAGTGTGCTTGGCCTTTTCTGGAAGCTGTCCTAAACACTGCCTGTTTTCACATGTTTGCTGTGCTCCTTGCTATATGCAGCCTCACCCTAAAGTTTCATCTTAATCTGCACTTCTGCAACTGCTATCGTATGTATTATCTGGGCATTTATTACATACACAGCATCGGGGAGATGTTAATTTTAATGTGCCACTAAACTACTTAGCTCAGACATGTCCATGACTCAGTGATTCTTAAATTTCCTCCTATATTTGAGATTCAAGAAATATTCAAATTTAGGAAATGTGAGTCTGAGAGGATACTTAAGTAATTCTTAGGTTGATCCATTTGAAAATGTTTTTTTAATGTAAATTTCCTCAAATTTTGTAGGTCTTGGGACCTTCCTCCACTAATGCAATTTTTCCAAGAAACCAACAAAATTGATGTAGAGATTTATAAGCAAAATTTTAAAAAGTAGCTTAAAAACATCAGCTTAATGTGGGGGTGGGAGGTGAGGGTGGGATCCTAAAGTTGGTTAAAATAGTTATCCCATAAGAGCTGACCCGGAAACGTCCTTAATTTAAATGTATATGTGTTAGATAGAAGTTGTTCAGCTTTAATCCTGAAAAGGACTGAAGGACCTTCACAATTGACAGAAACTCTGGTGTGTATCTTATTCTATCTGCTGCTTGAAAGAAGCAAAATCTAATATCAATTGTAAGAGTTTCTGAGAGCAGATTTTTTTTCTTTTTCTTCTCATGTTTCGCTAATCATCCCACCTAAGTCAGAACAGGCTTTCCATTTTTCTTCCAGTCCCACATTCCATAGCCTGTTTAGTCAAAGCACATGTGAGTCAGTGCTGCTGTCATCGGGAGAGTGAATGAGGAGGCAGAAGAGCCTGAAGGAGGACATATGGACCCAGGTCACACTCCTCGGCTTCACGGGGGGAGGAAGGGCACGATCAAGATGGCTTCCACGTTTCCTCTTCGCCCGTTGCTAGTTCTCTGAGTGATCACCTGTCAGTGACTGCTGACCTTCTGTCCAAAATGGACTCCAGCAACATAAACCAGAGAAGGAAATGCTGTTTTTCTAGCCTTTCCCATTTCCTTCCTAAAACAGATTTAGACTTCATTTTCTGACATCTCTTATCCTTTCACACAAAGGAAAGAGACTGTTCTTTTTAGCCTCCTTGTTTTGCCAACAATAAGAAAACTATGCTGTTGCTTTTGAGTTTAAATAGTCTTATTGCTAAGACTTGTGATTTAAAAACTGTATTCCACCCAGCTGGTGTGCTCAGTGGTTGAGCATCGACCTATGAATCAGGAAGTCATGGTTGATTCCTGGTCAGGGCACATGCTTGGGTTGCGGGCTCCATTTCCAGTGGGAGACATGTAAGAGGCAGCCAATCAATGATTATCTCTCATCATTGATGTTTCTATCTCTCTTTCCCTTGCCCTTCTCAGAAATCAATTTGAAAGATTTTTTTTTTTTAATGGATTCCCATTCCCAAAAGGTAATGTTTTCTGGAGATTTTAATTACAAGACATGGAAATTTCCAGTTGTCCATGATCGCATATTCCTCTGAAGGAACCAGTACTGCGGTTCCCACGGGAACACCCTCTCCCCCTGCCCTTCTCAGGTAGGCAGAGATGCGCTATGCTGCTCCGGCGCCCTCTGTAGGAGCAAACAAGGAGAAACCACAGTTTATTGTCTTTCAATTAGGGAAACCCCTTCAGATATTTTCCTCTGGAAGTCTAGAATTTAGACTTATGCTATGAATTGGGCAGCATTAGAATGTTTGAAAGAATATAGTAAAATTTCAAAACTCTCAGTTTTGTGCTCTACTTTTCTACTAGAAAAATAGATTGCTCAGGATTTCAAAATAAGAATTTAACTCTGGGTCCTATGTACCCAATTAATCAAAAGTGGGGCTAATTTGGAGGTTGGTGGGGGTTGAGACATCAATATCTTTCTAAACGTTTTTAAAGCCTTCAAAATTTATATCTCTAGCTCTTACCTCTCACCTGGATTTAGAATGATAGATTTAGGGAACTAATTTTGTAGTTTTCTATGTTCTCCCCATGTTTTTCATGCATAGGTCTCATAAATCCTAAAAATCCTTTTAGGCATGTATTCCTCAGGGGCCCAGCAGAATGTAGAGGGTACACCAAAATTGGGTAATTTGAGGAGCTCTTACTTACAATGGAATGGGCAGGTTGAGGAAAAATAGCAAAGAACCATACTGTCCCCATGGTTAGCAAAAGAGCCACCCCAGGCCTGAGGGCAGGGCGCTAACTCAACAGAAGGAGCTGTTTTGTGGGTTCCTTCTGAGGTAGCCGTGGCCTTTAGTAGAACAGTGTAGCCAATTAAAAGCCTCGCAGGGAGGGAGCCAGGGGAATACTTAGCCCAAACTCACTGTCCTCTACCTTCAGATCTCCTGCTGGTGTTACCCATTGGCTGAACCCAACTGGAAGCCAGAGGCAAGGGCGCCTGGATGCAGTTCTTATAGGTCAGCCTCAGGGAGCACAGAGCAGGTGAAGGGTGGAGAACAGACCTGGGAGGAGATGTGCAAGACAGCACATGCTTATCATCCAGTCCTCAGTCTATCCCAGGTTCAGATCTTTTCTTATGTTGTTTGATATCAGTATCAATCAAAGTAAATGTTGATAGTTTGTGATCTCAGAAGATTTTTTTTTAGTAAAGCATGTCCAGACTTATAGATATGCTGCTTATTAAAATTACTGAAGTTTTCCAGGCCTTTCACATTCACATTTTATGACATGCATTTCTAAAGATCTTTTTATTGTGGTAAATGCATATAGCGTAGAATTTCCCATTTTAAAGGTACATTTCTGTGGCATTAAGTACACTCACATTGTTGTGCAGCTATCACCACCATCCATTTTAAAAAATATATCTTTTATTGATTTTAGAGAGGAAGGGAGAAGGGAGAGAGAGATAGAAACATCAATAATGACAGAGAATTATTGATTGGCTGCCTCCTGCATGTCCCCTAATTGCAATCAAGCCCACAACCCGGGCATGTGCCCCTGACCAGAATTGAACCCAGGACCCTTCCGCCTATAGGTTGACGCTCTATGCACTGAGTCAAACCAACTAGGCACCACCATCCATCTTAAGTACTTTTTCATCTTCTCAAACTGAAACCCATTTTCCCCTCCCATATCCCCTGGTGACCACCATTCTACTTTTTGTTTCTATGAGTTTGACTACTCTTGATATCTCATGTTAGTGAAGATATATAGTATTTGTATTTTTGTGACTTAGCATAATGTTCTCAGAGTTCACTCATATCATAGCATGAATCAGATTGTCCTTCCTTTTAAAGGCTGAATAATATTCCATTGTATGCACACACCACATCTTGTGTATAATATTCCATTGTATGTATGTATCACATTTCATTTATCCATTCATCTGTCAAAGGTTGCATGATACACGTTTTTATTTCTTATTGATTGATTGATTGATTGATTACGGTATCACATAATTGTCCTCATCCCCCCATTCCCATGCTAAACCCCTCTCCACATATGCACCCACCTCCTGTTGTCCATGGCCACTGGTTAGGCTTATATGCATGCACACAAGTCCTTTGGTTGATCTTTTCCCCTTACCCCCACTCTCCCTTACCTTTCCTCTGAGATTTGAGAATCTGATCGCTGCTTCTCTTTCTCAGGGTCTGTTTTTGTTTATCAGTTTATGTTGTTCATTATTTCCTCTAGATGTGTGAGATCATGTGATCCAAGAAATACCCTTGTAAGAACCAAAACTGAGACAAGCCATAATGGTTATACTGAGAGGCAAATGAATCAGTCTGTAATGAGTTCCTTTCTGGGCCAACAGTTCTTTTGAGTCCCAATTTCAATGTTAAACAGTCCCTTACATGTACATGACAGCCATGATATTTCAGATCTGGTTTGTGGACAAATGGTGGTGATGAAGGTCCAACCGTCTCTGGTTTGGTCCTGGGCATCCTTCAACGTCACACAGCTGCTGTCTGCTAGTATAGAGAGGCGTTGTCAGCGTCTTCCATTGATACATGTGTTTTTAAAAAATATTTTAATTGATTTTTTTGCAGAGAGGCAGAAAGAAGCATAGAGAGTTAGAAACATCGATGAGAGAGAAACATCTATCAGCTGCCTCCTGCGCATCCCTCACCGGGGAATGTGCCCACAACCAAGGTACATTCCCTTGATGGGAATCGAACCTGGGACCTTCAGTCCACAGGCCGATGCTCTGTCCACTGAGCCAAATCAGTTCCGGCCGATAGGAGTCCAGTTGCTTTTTATTTTATTTATGCATATGAATGCATTCACTTTCATGGTATTACCTCTAAACAGCCTGATGTTTCACAAATCTCAGGATGATGTAAGAAAGAGCACGGCTGTAGGAGCTGACACATGAAAGGTGAGGTGGGCTAGAGCAGGTGAGGCGGGCATCATTTGCAGGAAGTAGAGAGTGGGGAGTATTTAAATGTGTGGAAAGACAGGACAACCCACCATGGATAAAAGAAACAGTATAAAAACAAAGAAACAAGTTCTGCTCAGAAAGCGCTTTATGGGAGTAGAGAGTATTTTGCTTGGATAGGCCTGAACTGAGAGGGCTACTTATGAATAAGTGGGGTGAGGTAGTTACACATTTTTGAAGTTTTACCTAAAAAAAAGTACACTATGCTAGACAAGTTTAAAAAAGCTGGTTTAAAAAGGGTTCTTGTCATGATTATTTCAGTCTTTCATATACTGGCATAGTTTATGTCCCTCCAAGACAGACTATGCTTGATAGCCTTCCTCAAGTCAGTCTCTCTCTCTCTGTCTCTCTAAATTAAGCCTGAGAATCTCTTTTTAAGATTAGAGGTCAATGGTCAGGTTATCTGCAGGGTTTTATTTTTTCTTGTAGATTTGGGGTTGATACTTTGGGACAGGAGTCCAGTTGCTTAGGACAAAAGAGAAGGGTCTAAATGCTCTTGTCAGCCACCAACAGGATTAGAGAATAAACATTTAAAGAATTCCGGGTTAAATGTCATTAGCCTATCCAGAAGAACCAAATTTTTAGCCTGCATGGGAACTTGACTCCATTGGTCTGATAAATATTTGTTGACTGTGTGAAAATAGAAAGACCTTGTAGCCGAAACCGGTTTGGCTCAGTGGTAGAGCGTCGGTCTGCGGACTGAAAGGTCCCAGGTTCGATTCCGGTCAAGGGCATGTACATTGGTTGCGGGCATATCCCTGGTGGGGGATGTGCAAGAGGCAGCTGGTCGATGTTTCTCTCTCATCGACATTTCTAGCTGTCTATCCCTCTCTCCTCCTCTCTGTAAAAAATCAATAAAATATAAAAAAAAAGACCTTGTAAATTCCAAAGCAACTGAGTAAAAATTGACAGTTTAAAAGATTAACTGGTTCACTGACAGATTAATGGGGAGAAAAGAATTATGTCTTTGGCCAAAAAGAGAGGAAAATGGTACTTCAAAAAAAACCTCTATAAACAAATAATAAGCTCCAGTTAAGATAAATATGCTGACATACTGGGGGAAATATCTGTGGTTTATTTTTAAATGCATCAAAAATAAAATAAAAAAAACACTTTAAATGCATCAAAAATAAAATGGATTGATAAATGAATAAAGTGATAGATGATAAGTGATCAAGTGACTACAGTAAGATATTGGTAGAATCTAGGAGGTGGATGTAAAAATTTTTTTAACTTCACTATTTGAAACTTCATATACAGTATATAAAGAGCCAGGGTCTGGCCGAAACAGGTTTGGCTCAATGGGTAGAGCGTCAGCTTGGGGACTGAAAGGTCCTGGGTTCGATTCTGGTCAAGGGCATGTACCTTGGTTGCGGGCATATCCCCAGTAGGGGGTGTGCAAGAGGCAGCTGATGGATGACTCTCTCTCATCGATGTTTCTAACTCTGTATCTCTCTCCCTTCTTCTCTGTACAAAATCAATAAAATATATTAAAAAAAAAAAAAAAAAAAAAAAAGCCAGGGTCTGTAACGACCAAGGCTTGACCAAACACCGGAAGTCAGTGCTGGGTTGCTGTGGTGACCCAGCACTGACTATAGCCGGTACTGGTGCAGTGACCCAGCACTGACTGCGAGGGCTCTGTGGATCATGCCCAGAGAGAGGCCTGCAAAGAGAGGCAGGATCTGATCACCAACCTCTGTGGCAGCTGTTGATCATCCATTGCCTCTCTCTCCCAGCTTCACCAGCAGCAACACCTCTGTTTCTCTCTGGGCCTCCTTGGGGACTGCTGATCAGCTCTGCCTCTTTGATCAGGCGCAGAGATAGGTCCGGAGATGCCGACTGGCATAGAAACCGACCAATCAGAACCAAATCTGGGTGAAATGCGAGTTGCGAGTTGCCAATAGCTGCCTAGGAGGCAGAGCTTTTCTTTTTTTCTTTTTTTTCTTTTTTAGTAAACATATATTATTGATATTTTGCAGAGAGGAAGGAAGAGAAATAGAGAGTTAGAAACATCGATGAGAGAGAAACAGATCAGCTGCCTCCTGCGCACCTCCTACTGGGGATGTGCCCACAACCAAGGTACATGCCCTTGACTGGAATTGAACCTAGGACCTTTCAGTCCACAGGCTGATGCTCTATCCTCTGAGCCAAACCAGTTAGGTGGAAGCGGAGCTTTGGACACTGACTGGCATAGAAACCGACCAATCAGAACCAAATCTGGGTGAAGTATAAGGAGCCAATGGCTGCCTAGGAGGCAGAGCTTTTACACTGACTGGCAGAGAAACCAACCAATCTACCCAATTTGGGTGAACTGCGAAGGCAGAACCTAAAATGGAGGCTAAGGAGGGGTTTTAAGGGCAACACTATTTTTTTAAAATTTTAATAAATCTTTATTGTTCTGATAATTACAATTGTTTCTTCTTTCCACCCTCCCCCCCCCATAGCTCCCCTCCACCAGGTCCCCACCCCACCCTTTGCCCTTACCTCTCCCCTGCTGTCCTCATTCATAGGTGTATGATTTTTGTCCATCCTGTATCCCACACACAGATAACCCTTTTCCCCTGAGAATTGTCATTCCCCTCCCATTCTATGCCCCCGATTTTATTATATTCATCAGTTTATTCTGTTCCTCAGATTTTTAACTCACTTGACTTTTAGATTCACTTGTTGATAAATATGTATTTGTTGTTCATAGTTTTTATCTTTACTTTTTTTTTTTTCTTTTTTCTCTTTTTAAAGAACACCTTTCAGCATTTCATATAATACTGGTTTGGTGGTAAGGAACCCTTTAGCTTTTTCTTATCTGTGAAGCTCTTTATCTGCCCTTCAATTGTGAATAATAACTTTGCTGGATAGAGTAATCTTGGTTGTAGGTTCTTGCTATTCATTACTTTGATTTAAAAAAAAAAGATATTTTATTGATTTTTTACAGAGAGGAAGGGAGAGGAATAGAGAGTTAGAAACATTGATGTGAGAGAAACATCGATCAGCTGCCTCCTGCATACCCCCCACTGGGGATGTACCTGCAACCAAGGTACATGCCCTTGACCGGAATTGAACCCGGGACCCTTCAGTTCGCAGGCTGATGCTCTATCCTCTGAGCCAAACTAGCCTTGGCACTTTGAATATTTCTTGCCACTCCCATCTGGCCTGCATAGTTTCTGTTGAGAAATCAACTGATAATCGAATGGGTGCTCCCTTGTAGGTAACTAACTGTTTTTCCCTTGCTGCTTGTAAGATTCTTTCTTTGTCTTTTGCTCTTGGCATTTTAATTATGATGTGTCTTGGTGTGGTCCTCTTTGGATTCCTTTTGTTTGGGGTTCTTTGCACTTCCTGAACTTGTAAGTCTATTTCTTTCACCAGGTGGGGGAAATTTTCAGTCATTATTTCTTCAAATATGTTTTCCGTGTCTTGCTCCCTCTCTTCTTCTGGCACCCCCATAATTCTGATGTTGGTACACTTGAAGTTGTCCCAGAAGCTTCTTACACTATCTTCAACTTTCTGTATTCTCTTATCTTCTTGCTTATCCGGAGGAGTGTTCTTTGCCTCTTTGTATTCCAGATCTTTGACTTGATACTTGCATTCCTCTAGTCTGCTGTTGGGTCTCTGTATAATATTTTTTATTTCAGTCAGTGTATGTTTAATTTCTAGTTGGTCCTTTTTCATATCCTTGAGGGTCTCACTAAATTTATTGGCCTTTTCTAAAAAATTCTTGAAAAACCTTATAACTGTGGTTTTGAACTCTATGTTCAGTTGTTTGTTCTCCATTTCTCTCATTTGTGATCTGTTTCCTTGTCTCCTCATTTTTGCTGCTTCCCTGAGTTGGTAGGATAGCTTTGTGTGCTGGTTGTCCTGTATGGTTCAATGGTTCAGCCTCCCAGTTACTTGATGCGGACACTCTTGGTACACCCCTTTGTGGAATGTGTGTACAGCCTTGTTGCAGTTAAGTCTTGATTGTTGTTGGTGTCACTGGGAGGAATTGACCTTCAGTGTCTATAATGGAAGAATTGCTGTACTGGAGACACATTTATGGGGTAGGACTTGCTCCATTAGGGCTTTGGTGCTCTCTGTGTCTGCCTCTTGAATGTGTCCCTTATGAGAGTAGTTGAAATCTGGTGTCATCTCACACCAACCACTAGATACACTAGTTTCTGGATCTCCAATGGGGTGCAGATCAACTATTGTCTGAGACCACCCAGAAGGAGCTATATTAAGAACTACAGCCGAAACCGGTTTGGCTCAGTGGTAGAGCGTCGGTCTGCGGACCGAAAGGTCCTGGGTTCAATTCCAGTCAAGGGCATGTACGTTGGCTGCAGGCACATCCCCGGTAGGGGATGTGCAGGAGGCTGCTGGTCGATGTTTCTCTCTCACCAACGTTTCTGGCTCTCTGTCTCTCTCCCTTCCTCTCTGTAAAAAATCAATAAAATATATTTAAAAAAAATTTTTTAAAAAAACAAACTACAGTTTTCTCCTCTTTGCTTGGGATTTGGCGGTTTTGGAGCAGTCTGACTGGAACTACAGTTAAGTTGCCACAGAGCAGGACATTTATATGCAAAAGCCGCTGTGTGGAGCCTGGGCGGGTGTGCAGGGCATCACTAGGCTGGGGTGTGGCAAACAGCAATGGCTGCCGTCAGCCATCTCTGCCTCTTCGTGCTTCCAAGTCTCCGAATCCCTGCGCTCCAGCACAGTAAACAATGATTGCTGCACACACCTCTGCAAAAAAGTCACCTTCACTTTCTGACCCCAATGGCTGACAGACCAGCTTTTCCCTGTAGGCATCTGGGTCCCCTAAACTGGATTTCAGAGTGATCAGGAGCTTGTTTCCCTTCAGGTTGAAAAAAAGCCACATGCCCAGTTTCCCGCCACCAGCCTGATTTGCGTACTTCCTTTTAGTGTTTGTGTTCCTTTCTCTTCTAGTTGTAAGACTTCCATTCAGCCAGCTTTCCCATGGTTCTGGGTGATAGACGTTTTGTCTTTTAGTTGTAGTTTTGAAATTGTTGTGCGAGGCGACAGTTTAGTTGTTTACCTATGCTGCCATCTTGGTTCCTCTCCGCAACAGCTATTTTGTGTAAGATGTAAGAAAGCAGTTCCATTTTTTCCATGACCAGTTTGATAGTATAGTGCATATGACTGGCTATCAGTCCAGATATAGAGATTATGTGTTTTTGTCTGCCAAGAGCATCTCCTCCTGTTAAAAAAGGCTTTTCCCCCCATTTAAGCAATCCTATCCTATATAATCTATCTATACTAATAAAGGGATAATATGCTAATTAAACCGGGTCGACCAGCCATCTTCCAGATGTCTGACTTCCTTCCAGACAAAGCCATGGTGGTGGGGGCTGAGGCAGGGCAATTAGGGGTGATCAGGCTGGCAGGGGAGGGCAGTTGGGGGCGATGAGGCAGGAAGAGGGATTGGGCCTAAACCAGCTGTTGGACATCCCTACAAGGGGTCCCTGATTGGAGAGGGTGCAAGCTGGCAAATGTCATGCACCGGGCCCCTCATTTCATAATAAAATGTCAGAGAACCAAAGAGAAAAATGGAAGTCTAAAAGATTTTGAAGGAAGAATCATTGGGATTTAAGAGAAGCAATGTTTATAGTAAAAAGAACATGGGCATTGGAGTTAATGGTCCTGAGGTCTGGTTCTGGCTTAGCTATTCTCTAGAGTAGGGGTGTCGAACTCAATCAGAGAAGGGGCCAAAATCTAAAATCCAGCCTAAATCGTGGGCGGAATGGTTTACTGAACAGTCATAAACTGTCATTGTGATGGAAACGCAGCGGAGTGCAGTGATGACAGCGCGGTGCGGGCCACATTGCAAGGCCTGGCGGGACGGATTTGGCCCGCGGGCCTTGTGTTTGACACATGTGCTCTAGAGAATTAAGTATATTGCTTAGTGGCGGCACTGGTATTTGAACCTGTGCACCCTGGCTCTAGTGCTTTGGTCTCTCTCTATTTGCAGTGCTGTAAGCTCCTTGTCAGTGTCTAGCACGTGATAGAGTCTCAAATGATAGCTGTTGCCATTCATTAGTGTACTGTCTGTGGGCTGCAAAGGATTAAGTGAAGTCTAAGATTTTAATGTTTGATCTGGAAGATTTATATGCAAACTGGAAAGTAAAACTATTTGTGAAGAAATAGTTTAGTGTTAGATAAGTGGGAGTAGAGATTTTTATATGAACAGTCTCACGTAGTATTTTCTTCAAGTTCAGTAAATCATTTGCTCATCATAGTGCTGTTTGTGCCGAGCACCGCTCTAGACCGGTGAACAAAACCGACAAAAATCTCTTTCCTTATAGAGTCTTACATGCAACAGGGTCTGAAGAAGTAAGGAATTTTATATCTCCAACGGGGAATGAGTGCAGAAGTGGAACTGCAGGCGTTCACCAGCAGGGGAAGGTGGTGTTTTCCCAGCAGACTTCAGATGCCCCTGACACCACGCCACGAAGGCAGTCATTTCCTCTGCTTTCTCGCAAGCCCATCTGTGTCCTGATTTCCTCTGCAGTTCTTTTGCCTTCCATCTGGAATGGGTGGAACAACTTATATAAGCTGTTTGTGATTGTTTTAGAACTATATGTTCAGGCTTCTAAAATGGGCCACATAGGAACAATCACGGTTGCTTTTCATGGCGCCTTCTATGAGCAGAGAAGACTGAGAGGAAACTCATGGAACTCCACATAAAACAGAGGACACTGAGGTCTCCTTTCCTGTCTCATGTACGAATCCTGTTACGTGGCCAGGCTCTGACCTCAGCGGCCTTCCAGGGTGTGTATCCCTTGGCGATTGCGCACTCATTCCAATAGGGTAGGAGGTCAGTCAGTAAAAGTATTTACTGAGCCAGACCCTCCTCCTCTGCTTCTGAGTCATTTTCGGTTAGAGCAACGATGTTCTCAGGGAGAAGCTTTAACTCTTTCAGATGACAAAGGTCCCTCAGTGTGATGGGTGGCTCTCTAAGCCATCCTCAGGGCTTATGCTTATTCTTTTCTTGGTATTTTAGATAATGAGGTATGCACTTAGATAGTGTGGTGGAATTTGTAGTGAGAAAATGCAGAAGAAGGAAAACAATAGCCACCTTGTCCCAATCTTGGGAAGTTGTTTTAATAATGTATAGATGGCTACAAGGCTTGCAAAATACTATGTTCGTTTTAGAAAAAAACACACACATATTTATGACACACCCTTCTGTGGAAATCTGACATCTGGCAACTTTAGCTCCTTGGGAGGCGGCCAGGAACTAAGAACAGGGCCTCCGAGCACATAAAAAATATCTGTTGAAAAAACTCTAGCAGTAACACATGTATTTTACCACCACAGGAGAGTGTGTTAGTCTCTCATTTGGAGCTTGTTTACTTTTTATTTATCTGGGAACTTTGAACAATGTTGGCTGTGTATGTGTGGTCCCCCTTCCCCAGGAGATTATAAACAACCGTCTAGGAAGAGGTTGGGAAAGTTGACAGAGGAGATAAACCGATAGCAGAGGGAAGGCTGCCATCAAAAGAGAAAGACTTAGAAGCTCTACAGTACTGGTATGATGTGTTACAACACAGTATAGCAATTTATGGTCTTCATAATGCACTTTATCCATCAGCCAAAGAATTAAGTCATGTGCAGTGTCTTTTGAAGAAGGCAGAGAGATACATAGTGTGTCCTTTTAAACATGGTCCAAGTTTTGACATGCTGAAATGGTAAATTCTGTAGTGTTTATAAACTTGAAACAGCACACTGTCTAGAGATGCCATATCAGTGACACAGATTTGAGCTTGTAGCTGATTATGGAAATGATGTGTAGTAACAATTGCTAACATTTACACAACACCTACTGTACCAGCCCTGTCCTGGGCTTTGGAGACAGGCAGATCTGGGTTCCCAATTCCACCTCTGCCTTATTGTGTGACTTTGGACCAATGACATCACCTCTTTGAGCCTGTGTCCTCACATGAGCAATTGGGAACCAATAATATATGACACCGTATCCATGCAAGGATACTACGCAAGGTTGGGACACAGGTGTCTTTCAACCGAAAACACATTCTTGAGCTGGTGTAGTGTACAAAGTTTTGTCTGGAGGTGCCATCTACATAGCCTGTCTTTGTTCTTTTCAATGAATTTTTACTTTTTCATATGTTTGAAATAAATTAGACTACTTTGATAAATTTAAGTATAAACTTTTTATTTGCTTAGCTTTGACTTTAAGTATCATATCTTAAGCTATGTCATTCTCAAGATATCTATCTAAATTACAGTGTCTTAAATATTAATGCTTCCTTATTTCTTTTGACCTTTCTGTCCAGGTTATAAAACATGGAGGCTGGGTCAGTGGTTCGAGCCATCTTTGACTTCTGCCCTAGTGTCTCAGAAGAGCTGCCCCTGTTTGTGGGGGATGTGATTGAGGTGCTGGCAGTGGTGGATGAGTTTTGGCTTCTAGGAAAGAAAGAGGATGTTACAGGTAAGAGGCACCTACCTCCCGTTTTCCATGCATCTGGTTTCCTTTCTTTTGTTTTTTACAATATAAGTTACCACTAATTTCTTTCATTAATTAGCTTAGGGAAGGATGGCAGTTTGCCCCCCACACATGCCCCTATGTTAAATCCCATCCTAACTTACATACATTTATGCAAATCTGGGTTGGAGGATGTTACACGGTCCTTAGAACAGACCCTGTTGACACTTAGCCCACATTTGTTAGATAATCCGTTATCTCCCAGTAGAAATGATATCTCAACTAAGACAAAATGATGAGTAGGAGTTAGCAAGGCAAAGAGGATAGGAGGCAGAGAGAATGCTTGTTCAAAGGCCCTGGAATGAGAGAGAACACGGAGGGACTGAGAAAAGTTAGGTATGGCATGAAGTATGAATGGTGGAGGAGGGGGATATTGTTTGGGAGATGAGCAGAAGTTAGATCATGGAGGACAGACTATGCCTTGGTAAGGAGTCACAGAAATGAGAAACCATTAATGTGCTTTAAGATATTTATCAGAATTTTAGAAAGCTCTCAGCTGCCAATTGAAAGATGGTAGGAAGGGGCAAAACCAGAAGCAGGGAGGCAGGATGGGAGGTTGGTGCAGTAATCTGGGTGAGAGATGCTAAAGGCTTGGACCAGCATGGGGGGTCTGGAGGTAAATGAACAGGTACCAGAGACATTTAGAAGGTGGAATCAATTAAACCTTCTGATGCTTTCCAATCAACAGGCTCTGTCTCTCGTCTACCTCTACCTATTAAAACCTACCCATCTTTAGACTCAAATGCTATCTTTTTCATAAAATTTTTCATATTCTTTCCTGACCCATCCTCTCCCTTCTCTGAAATCCCCTAGTAATTTGTGTATCTGTATTGTGACACTGGATTTTAGAATTGAATTTTTGTTTGTGTCTGAACTAGATTTTGTCTGAATTAGATCTTTGATGGCCAAGACTGTCTTATTCCTTTCCCCCTCTGCAATGCACCTTGCATAAGTGACACCCAATAAATATTCATTGGCTGGAATTGCATTTTCTCATTGAGTTTTTAATTGGGCCTATTAATGAGCTCAGAAAAACAATTTGTGTCCTGGTACATAGGCATAAATATATTTTTTTCAAAATGTTTGCTTTTATTTTCAGGACAGTTCCCCAGTAGTTTTGTGGAAATTGTGACCATTCCCAGCCTAAAAGAAGGAGAGAGGCTGTTTGTCTGTATCTGTGAATTTACATCCCAAGAAGTGAATAGTCTTCCCCTTTATCGAGGTAAGTTGATCAAGAGTAGACTGTTTAAAATTAGATCAGGGGAGCCCTGGCTGGTTCGGCTCAGTGGATAGAGCATTGGCCTGCAGACTGAGGAGTCCTAGGTTCAATTCCGGCCAAGGGTACATGCCCGGGTTGTGGACTCCATCCCCAGTGGGGAATGGATGTGCAGGAGGCAGCCAATCAATGGTTCTCTCTCATCATTGATGTTTCTGTCTCTTTCTCCCTCTCTCTTCCTCTCTGAAATCAGTAAAGAAATATATTTTTAAAAAATAATTAGATCAGCCAAAACTGGTTTGGCTCAGTGGATAGAGCTTTGGCCTGAGGACTGAAAGATCCCAGGTTTGATTCTGGTCAAGGGCATGTACCTTGGTTGCGGGCACATCCCCAGTAGGGAGGGGGTGTGCAAGAGGCAGCTGATCGATGATTCTCTCTCATCAATGTTTCTAACTGTCTATTCCCCTCCCTTCCTCTCTGTAAAAAATCAATAAAATATATTTAAAAAAATAATAATTAGATCAGTGAAGTTGGTCCATTTTGACAAATAGATCTTTTTTGGACTTTTTTTAAATGGCTAACTTCTGGAAGGTCTCCAGCAATACCAAGACGGTGCTGACAATGCCAATGCCTTCTGTTTTAGCAGCATTTTATAATTTCCACAGTATTTTCTCACAACTTCATTCTCATTTGATCCTCCACACAGACCTGGGAGGTAGCAAAGTGGGCATTATTTCCTGCATTTAATAAATGATGAAAATGAGATTCAAACGATGTTACCTACAGATGAGAAGTTTTAGCCTCAGAATGTGAAGTCCTTTCAGTGGATTATAAGTCCAGCATTGTTTTTCCACTGCCCCATGCTATGGCCACACTTGACTACATATATCTTTTTTCTCATAAAAACCGATATGGTTTTACTAACCACATTACTATTTATTAATGCATAATAGTAGGGCAGTAGTTGTGGTATGGAAATTAAGAGGCAGATTTACTACTATTAGGCCTGTTTTACTATTCTACATTCGGTAATGTTATTAAAGTTCTCATCAGAACCAGTTTGAAAGGAAGCAGTTTAAAATGGATAGTGATAGCCAGGTCTCAAATGATATTTCAAGTATTTCCCACTTTTGTACTCTAATACAGCAATTGCCAACCTTTCGGACCTCACAGACCAACTAGTGGTGGACCACTGGTTGGTTATCACTGCTCTAATAGACATGTGACCTTCTAAAGATGGACTGTTAACTGTTTCGATAAGTATACTTGATATAGCCCGTGCATTTCTGCATAAGCATAGACACATATCAATGCAATTTTGTGATGATTCAGAAAATGGTCTCAAAATGGTAGTTTACTGGATATGTTATTAATATTGTTACTTGCTGTTATGAGTGAGAGCGAGAGCAAGAGCAAGAGTGAAGGTGGGGAGAGGGAGAAACCTCACAAACTCCTTAACTCTTGATCAATAATAAGAATATTGCATTTTGATCTTAATCTCAAAACCAAATTTGAAAGTTTCTTTACACTGAGACTGTGCTTGTGTTCTGTGTACTTCCTTGCTAATGAGCGTTGGGAAGGCAGGCAGAAATAGATCAGGATGTTATGGCAGGAAACCTCATCTGTCTCTACTCACCCCCACGGGAGGGCTGTGACCCAAGACAGGCCAGTCAGAGGGTGGGGAGAAAGGGCTTCCTCCGTGCTCCCTGACTGGAGATGGGGAGCAAACCCTTGACCGAGAATCAAAACCAAGATTCTGGTGCAGAGTCCAATGCTCTAACCACTGAGAAACACCAGGGCAAAGATGAGCTATTTTTATTATTCTTTTAAAAAAATATATTTTTGTCGGTTTCATAGAGGAACAGAATTAGAAACATCAGTGATGAGAGAGAATCATTGGTCAGGTGCCTTCTTCACACCTGCTGGGGATCGAGCCTGAACCCGGAGGGCATGTGCCAGGACAGGAAACCTAACCGTGACTTCCAGGTTCATAGGTTGATGTTCAACCACTGACCACAGTGGCCGGGCTACGTTCATTATTTTTAACCTGGGATTCCTAGAGCTCACAGAGGTGCTTTGGGGAACCCTGTTTCCCAATGATTAGGCGAAGTGTTGTGTGTATGTACATTTTTCCCGGGAGATTCTGACTAGAACCCCAGAGATTCTTCCAGTAGATGTCACCCTTTCTCCTTTCCCAAAGCTATCATATTGTTTTGGACTGTTCCCTGTATTTGGAGTTCTATTTAAACTCAGCAACAAGTCTATCTGTTAGAAGGATCAATGCAGCCAGGGCCACTGATTATACCAAAGAAAAGAGGAAAAAAATTAGTGGGAGATGAATATCACTAATCATTGCCCTACATAACACAGTGCTTATCCTTTGCCTATAACTTTATGTTCCTAGACCACTTCCTCATCTCCCAAAAAGGACCAATAAAAAATAAACTGAACAACTTATTTACAAATATTTACAAGTCAAATCTGTGATGTGAGATATCAAGATTAAAGTTCTGATATAGCGCATATGTAAACCTAAGTAAATAAATGTTTAATTTGCATAAAGCACACAGTGCCCTGGGCATTAGGATTCAATGAGATATCTAATTCTCAGAGTCAGATTACTTGTATTCAGATTCTAAAAGGACTTGCATTCATTCTAATTTATTCCTAATGCAGTTCTTGTTTAAATAAAACAATCTAACCAGAAGAAACAAGCAGTGTGGCCTCTGGGATTAAGTGTGCGTGAGTGAAAGGCTCAGAGTCACCACACTTCTTATTTTTCAGTTCTCAAAATCTGGCCACTGTCCTCCAGGAGTTCCTCATCTTGGTGTCTCAGAAGTCTAGAAATGACCTCTCGGCAGCCTTCTTTCCTCAGGGATCGCCTAGGATGCCAGGGAATAGCTGCATGGCTCTTTCAGATGAAAATGAGAGACTCGTGCAAAACATTCAGCAAACAGGATTATAAAATGAGGGTGTTGAACAATGATCTCTAAAGTGCTTTTCAGGAAGCTAAATGGTGATATTTTTTTAAAAATCACCTTTATTATATAGAGATAACCAACAGAATGACTGTCTGTCTATATCTATAAAGCCTAAGCGACTGTTAGGACTGGTTGACTGAATGACTAGTTGGTCACTATGACGCGCACTGACCACCAGAGGACAGACGCTGTACGCAGAAGCTGCCCCTGGTGGTCAGTGCGCTCCCACAGCCAACCTCCTGTGGCCGGCTGGCCAGCCTCCTGAGGTCACTTCTGCCCAGCCAGCTGGCCCTGATCAGCCCCAATCGCTGGCCAGGCTGAAGGATCCTACCTGTGCATAATTCATGTACTGGGCCTCTAGTCAGATAATAAAGCTTAGTAAGATCATCACCCAGCTGAAAATAGGAAAACAAAGCTTATTATAAGAGTTTCATGGATAATATGATTCTACAGCTTTAAGAAGTCCAGTTCATTTCAAAGCCAGTAGAGTAGGAGGGATGGCATGCTTTTATTCTTCTTATTCACCAATGGGCCTATTCACCAAAAGGCCTATTGTGTGTGAATAGTAGCCGGCTCCAGTGAGCTCCCTTGTGGTACTGATGGAATGGCCTTAGAGCTGGTCAGGGGAAATCACTTGTAGTAATCTGGACCATAAGCTCTGACCCATGGGTATTGAATCATAAATTAAAGGAATATAGCAATATAGGACCAAGACCTTATTTCTCAGGAATACAATATCAAATCAGTGAAAATGTATTTGGTGCCTACCACTAAGTGCAAATTTTTACATTAGGGGCTGTATATTATATAAAAATACAAATGTTAAAATTGGTAATATGGATCGTTGACTATGATCATTTATGTAAGATGAATGTGGGCTTCTAGGTTCTTTAAAGTGGCTTGCTAAGGTTTCAAACGAAGAGGCTTACATATAGGAGACAATGAGAGTCCCTTCGTGTGAAATAGGGCCTTATAGATGACGTATATTGGACAGCTGAGGGTGGGAGCAGGTGATATTATGACTGGATATGAATGCCAGGTTACATGGAGTTGAAAACATGTAGCTTAGTAACTAAATCTTTTTGGAGAGTATCCAGAACAAACTTATTTTTTACATATTTCAGGTAGTAAGGATTATTAGAGAAGAAGCCTTTGAGAGAAGGAAGAAGCCTTCATGCTTCAGGGTAAATGTTTGAGCAGGGGAACGACATGATAAAATTGATGTAGTTATAATCTTGGGCATGAATCACTTAGTAGACAGGAAGAGACAATGTCTAAGGTCAAGGTATATAAGAGTGAGATAATGTGAGTTGGACTAAGATGGAAGCAAAGTGCAAGTAATGAATGGAATAAATATTCTGAAAGAAGAAACTAGAGGGAAAAAAGTTGGCAGCATGGAGCTCGTTTTGGAGGGAAGGTATAATTCATTTATTTGACAGTTGGAATTGAAGAATCACTAGCTAATGGACAATAAGAGCTTTGCTTATGTGGGTCTATTGATATTTAACCATATTAGCTATAAAAACTGAGAAATTTTTAAAATGTTTATTTGGCTTAGGTCCGATCCCCCCTGGCAGTCAGACATCCCTCTGCCAGTCTGGGGCTCTCGGAGTCCAGGACTCCTCGCTCCTTACTGTCCGCCTGCAGCGGAGGTGGGAGAGGCTCCCACCACCAACTCTGCGCTCGCCAGCCATTAGCCCTGCTTCTGGCTGATGGGCGCTCCCCCTGTAGGAGCACACTGACCACCAGGGAGCAGCTCCTTAGGTGAGCATCTGCCCCCTAGTGGTCAGTGTGCATCATAGCGACTGCTTGTTCTGCCATTCGGTCAATTTGCATATTAGGGTTTTATTATATAGGATTTTTCTTGGGTGATGACTGGGACCATTATCTTTGCTTCCCTTTTTTAGGCGACCTCGTGATTCTCGATGGCACTCCCACTGCCGGCTGGCTGCAAGGCCGAAGCTGCTGGGGTGCCCGGGGCTTCTTCCCGTCCTCGTGCGTTCGAGAGCTCTGCCTGTCCTCACAGAGCCGGCAGTGGCACAAGCAGAGTGCCCTGCTGCAGATTCCCGACTACTCCATGGGACAGGCCCGGGCGCTGATGGGGCTCTCTGCCCAGCTGGACGAGGAGCTGGACTTCAGAGAAGGGGATGTGATTACCATTATCGGAGTTCCTGAACCAGGCTGGTTTGAAGGGGAACTAGAGGGTCGAAGAGGCATTTTCCCCGAAGGTTTTGTAGAACTTTTGGGGCCCCTGAGGACTGTGGATGAGTCGGAGAGGTCTGGAAATCACAATGACTGCATGGAAAACGGTGAAGTAGATACCTCTACTGAAGAGGAGAGAGGGCTGGAAGAGGAGGATGAGCAGCCAGGGACCTACGGCATCGCCCTCTACAGGTTCCAAGCCCTGGAGCCCAATGAGTTGGATTTCGAGGTAGGCGATAAGATCCGGATTCTGGGGACCCTGGAAGATGGCTGGCTGGAAGGATCACTGAAGGGCAGGACAGGCATCTTTCCTTACCGCTTTGTAAGTGTATGTTCTGAAACAAAGGTGGAGGAAACTGTGACACCGCCACAGGAAAGCAGCCTTACCAGGGTCCCTGAACCGTCTTTGGATTGCTCAGAGAACTTAGTCCTGGGAGGAAAAGGTCACGCATCTCATGAGTATGAAGAAGAGACGTCCAGCTGTATTATTTCTGAAACATCTGCTTCTCCCCCAGATCATCTGGCCTCTGAATATGAACTAAACAAAATCTCTCACTGGGATGAGGGCACCTCGAGGGGGCCGCCGAGAAGCCCAGGCCCAGGGCATGAACAGCCTCTGGCCAGAGACTCTGCCACGAAGGATTCTTCAGAGGTAGTCAACGGCGTCTCCTCCCAACCTCATGTGCCTTTTCACCCCCAGCCGCAGAAAAACCAGTATTATTCTAGGGCAGGAGGGAGCCATCCAAGCTCAGGGCAGTTCTCTGACCCTTTTCCTCTAGAAGCAAGAACGAGAGACTATTCCAGCCTCCCTTCCAGAAAAACACACTCTCAGCCAAAGACTCTAGCATCTCCTTTTCATGAAGGCTCCTCTCTCCCAGCCTCTAGGGTGGTCAGGCCCAGCCAGTGGAGCCCTCAACTCCAGGGCAAGGCAAGGTGTCCCCAAAAGTACCACACACCCCAAGGGAAAAACGCTTCCCGCTTTTGTGCAGAGACGAAGCCTGGTCTGCGAGACATGGCGTCCGCCGTGGAAGCATTGGCCCTTCCCCAGGGAGACGGCCACGTTGACCTGGATTCGAAGTTGACGCAACAGCTGATAGAGTTTGAGAAGAGCTTGTCGGGGTCTGGCTCTGAGCCCGATAAAATTTTGCGCCACTTTTCAATCATGGACTTCAGCTCCGAGAAGGATATTGTCCGAGGTTCCTCAAAGCTCACCACCCAGCAGGAGCTGCCTGCGAGGAGAAAGGCCCTGAGACCACCGCCACCCCGGCCAGCGTCCACTCCTCCCCATTTGCTGGTGGACCAGAACCTGAAACCCGAGCCACCCTTGGCAGTGCGGCCCTCTCGCCCAGCCCCCCTGCCGCCCTCAGCGCAGCAGAGGATGAATGCGGTACCCCCCAAACTCCCAACCTGTAACCGTCCTGCCTGTGAGGACCTAGGAAAGGAGGCCCCTGAGAATATGGAAAAGACTTTGGACCAGCCTTCCCAGTGTCCATTAGTGTTGGTTAGAATTCAGGAAATGGAACAGGACTTGGACATGTACAGCAGGGCTCACGAAGAGCTAAACTTAATGCTGGAGAAGCAAGAGGAATCCTTAAGGGCAGAGACCCTGGAGAATCTTGCATTCTACGAGAGCAACATTGAAAATTTGAATATGGAAATCCAGCAACTTAGAGGTAAGTGATGAAGAAATAATATATTCTTATTTCTTGAGACCTGTCAGTCCAAGTAGTAGCCTACCCATATTTTTTAGGGATATGTTACCATCTTGGATTGACAAAGAATGACTTGCTTTTTCATTATCTAATTTCTTCTCGCACCACAATCAGACTGCTCTGTCTTGATGCATCCTATGACCATTGTGGCCTCCTGACTTTATTTGCAGTTCAGTGACATTTATACCTCCTATACTGCTGTGACATCCATAGCAGTCATGTAGATGGGAAGTCCCTAAATGTAGCTTTCTTTAACCTGGCCCTACTAAAGGATTGAAGATATCTAGGCTAAGACTCTATCTAGACTGAGAAAACTGCATCTTGTATATTTGTGGACTAGATTTCAACAATAATAATAATAACATTTATTAGGTTGTTAATAAGCATTTGTTACCATTTACTTACACAGAGAATTTCAGCCACCCTGAAGGCACCGGGGATAATCCTTATGGCTACTTTATAGATGGTGAAACTAAAAGTTGTAGAGATTAAGTCACTAGCCCCGGGAGCAAGGATTTGAGCCCATGGTTTTAACTTACTCCAGGTTACTGCTTCCCACCTTGCACATTCAGAAGTTTAAATGCTGTTCCTTCATTCGGGGGTGACCAATCCTTGGAGATTTCATTCATGTTCGCCAGGCCACCAGGGGAAATAATTTGCAAAGTAGGAAGAGTAAGAGGGTGAGACACAGGCATTTGTCCTAAGACCCAAGGAGAGCCTGACCTCAGGGCACTTTGGCATGTGCCCGAGGGCTCTGCACCTGCTTGTCAACAGCAAAGTGAATAATAAAAGTATTCTGTGGGTCTAGAAATTGCAGGAGAATGGTGACCCAGAGAGACTGGGCCAAGATGGCAGATCAAGTGCACATGCCTACTCCCTTGTTCTTTAGATTTCTGAAAGTGAATGAAAAAACATAATTAAAAATCCCAAGAAGAGTATTATCAGAAGGCCGGAAATCAAGTGATTTTCTGAAAGGATTCTTGGATAAGAATTTTTATTATTTATTTTTTATTTTTAAAATATATTTCATTGGTGTTTTTTTTACAGAGGGGAAGGGAGAGGGATAGAGAGCTAGAAACATCGATGAGAGAGAGACATCCATCAGCTGCCTCTTGTACACCCCCTACTGGGGATGTGCCCGCAACCAATGTACATGCCGTTGACCCGAATCTAACCTGGGACCTTTCAGTTCACAGACCGACGCTCTATCCACTAGAACCAAACCCGGTTTTGGCGGATAAGAATTTTTAAAAAAGAAAAAAGAAAGAGAACACTTCCATGTCATTAAAATATATAATCTTGTCACATTATTTTGATTCATAATAATAATAAACTGCATTTATTTTATATATGTTTCTCATCTATATACAGATATAAAAACTTTAGTACAATCCAAAACTAACACAGGAAAATTATTCACTGTTGATTATTAAGGTCACTACTATTATCATTTAAGAACATGTAAATGAAGAGTTTTAAAAATATAGGATAACTTATCATTTTAAGAATTATGCCGAAACCGGTTTGGCTCAGTGGTAGAGCATCGGTTTGCGGACTGAAAGGTCCCAGGTTCGATTCCGGTCAAGGGCATGTACCTTGGTTGTGGGCACATCCCCGGTAGGGGGTGTGCAAGAGGCAGCTGGTCAATGTTTCTAGCTCTCTATCCCCCTCTCTTCCTCTCTGTAAAAAATCAATAAAATATATTTGAATAAAAAAAAAAAAGAATTACTAGGAATTCCAATTTTTGTTCTGAACCCCAAAGATTACTTTTCTTGCAGAATATATTTTTTTTTGTTAAAAAATATTTTTATTGATTTTAGAGAGCAAGGGAGAGGGAGAGAGAGAGATGGAAACATCAGTGATGAGAGAGAATCATTGATTAGCTGCCTCCTGCACATCCCCTACTGGGGATTGAGCCTGCAAGCCAGGCATGTGCCCTGACTGGAATAAAACTGGTGACCCTTCAGTCTGCAGGCTGATGCTCTGTCCACTAAGCCAAACTGGCTAGGGCTATGCTTGCAGAGTTTAGAAACTGCTGACCAACAACTGAAAGAAACAAGTGCCAATTCTCTCTCTGGAATGAGGTGCCTTCCTCTCAGGTCTTAAAGTTTTCCAAACACTTACATTTAGACTAGCAAACAGTAAAAGACAGTCAGACACATAGGGAGTGTAGACCATACTAAATGAGAACCAGATGGCACCAGTCCCACTAAGACTTAATATCACACAGACTATATATTTTCTATGTAAAGAAAAGAAAAAAAACTTGTTTGACTCAATGGATAGAGCATCGGACTGTGGACTGAGAGGTCTCCAGTTCGATTCTGGTCAAGGGCACATGCCTTGGTTGTGGGCTTGATCCCCAGTAGGGGGCATGCAGGAGGCAGCCAGTCAATGATTCTCTCTCATTATTGATATTTCCTTCTCTCTCTTCCTCTCCCTTCCTCTCTGAAATAAATAAAAATATATATTAAAAAGAAATGAAAAGAAAAGAAACAAGCTGAAAGGTATCTGCAGCAAACAGGAAACTATAAAAGGTAACATATCAGATTTGAAAATATAAAATAAAACTTCTAGCAAATGAATCCTCATGACTTCATAATTATTCCATAGTCTTTAGCAGGAGCAATATGAACAAAAGTGTAAGTGCTGTATAGATTTAGGTGTGAACAATTATGAAAATTTGTATATCACGCCATACTTAAATTAATTCATTCAATGTATTTATTCCCTGTTGGTCTAAACCAGATTCATACTTATACTTAAGTCTTTAAATTAGAAGTGCTTCTTAATAATATTTTCTTCTAATTCTCAAACTTCTATTTAATGCCTGCCATGTGATAAGTATAGTAAGGCATTTGCCCATACATTTTCTTATTTGAAGGAGGTGGAGGAGACAGAGAAGCAGAAATAGCTATAATAAAGAGCTTCATTTTGAGTCTGGCACAATACTGGACTATTTTGCTACCCAGTAACTTTGTCTCAGTGACATTTCTGCTCTGACAGTGCCCAGCCCAGTCCAAGTTCAATGTTAACAATAAAGGTAGGAAATCTTTTAAGGCTCTGGAGGTAGAACAAGCAACTTCAATTCAATTTCATCCAGTTAAACTAAATTCAATTCATCAAGTATTTAATGAGTCTACTGCCTGCAGAACACTATGCCGACTGTGAGAAATGACACACTGACTAATACACAGTATCTGTCTTCTCATTAGAATTAACATTTTCACTGAAAGGCACAAAAGCATTAAAAATAATACCAACCAGAATTAAGTAAATATTGTACCAAAAATTCTTTAAATCTTAGGCCTTAAATGCCATGATTAGAGATAGTAGGAGACTGGATTCAGGGAATAAAGCCTGATGTATAAATTGATTAATTTCCTCCTATTTCAAGGGACTAATTTTATTGTTGGATACGGTTTTTATGAAAATAAGAAAAGATGACCTTAAGAGGCTCTGTCATGATTGCAAGAAATAAGTAATTTCATTATATTAGCAATTGATATAAAAAAGAAAATCAAGTCAACATTAATACACTGAATGGATTTAGTGGATTCAAATAAAAGTCTTTCTGATTAAGACTCTACCCACCTACTGTAGGTCTTTCACAGTATTAATCTTTTAGAATGAAAAAACACATAGTAGGTACACTGACTGAATATTCAATTAGTCCTGAAAAGAAGATCAGTTGAATAAAGAAGAATACCAATTTCATCACTTAGTACCAGTCCATTAATCCACAAATCCATTGAAAAACACTTCATGGTATTTTTAGGGATAGAAGACATAACATTTTTCTTTCTTTCTTTCTTTTTTAAAAATATATTTTATTGATTTTTTACAGAGAGGAAGGGAGAGAGATAGAGAGATAGAAATGTTGATGAGAGAGAGTCATCGATCAGTTGCCTCTTACACGCCCACCCACTGGGGATGTGCCCGCAACCAAGGTACATGCCCTTGCCTGGAATAGAACCTGGGACCTTTCAGTCCGCAGGCTGACGCTCTATCCACTGAGCCAAACCGGTTTCGGCAGACATAACATTTCTGTGAAACACTATTAATTCTCAAAAATATCGTTATTGAGAAATTCTTGCTGGCTGGAATGTGGGAGACTTTTGTTCTGCCACCTGTATGTTTAATGCAGGACTAGTTTAGAAGTATATTTCAAAACTTGCAGTTATGGAAGACAGTGGAGAATCCTGGGGCTTGCCATGGCTTTGGGAATGTAGTGATGTGTCAGAACTGTCAATGTAAGGCCTTATTTTGCTTCTAAAACTTGATATTCTTCGACCATCGCTTATAAAATTTGTGCAAAATATACTCTGCACATAACCTTGTTAATATTTACCTTATTTGCAAGAATGACTCACTGTTAGCACACACACGTAACATAGCAACAGCTACAAGCAAAACAATCTGGTTAGATTTTGTTTATTTTCTCTCCTAGGTACTCTTGTCCTGGTGAGCCTTAATCTTTTACTCTGTATTGCTATTTTCTGCTCTCTCAACTTAATATCTGTGGATTCCTTCAAACTAGAAATATCTCTACACTAATTGTTAAGCTTTATTCTCACAGGCGTAATAGCATATTTTCTCTGGGTTTCCAGATTTCTCAGTTAGTCTTTTTGAATCCTAAGAAGAATCAATTTCCTGAGAAGGAATTCCCACATGGAAACACTAGTCACTCTCAGTCCAGCTCCACCTTAAACTGACTTCAAGGCTTAAAGCACCTTGGATGACCAGGGGCCCAGCTGTAATTTTGCAAGCGGGCCGGTCAATTCTGATTTACTCTCAGGAATCCGTTGGAATCTTAGCTTATTACATTCAAGGTCTCCTAGACTCCTCCCCTTGCAGCTCTGGCATTGAGTTTTGGGCCCCTTCTCCCCAGAGAGCCATTGAACCAAAAGTTCCATTTTCTGGGACTGGCAAGCACCGTGGGGCAATGCAGTCTCTGTGGT